TCTGGGTGGTGCTGGACCTCTGCACTGTAACTGCTTGTTCTCCTGGTGCTGGTCCTGGAAAATATAAATTCACATTTAAAGCTTGGCATTTCACCCCTTGGGATTTTCAGATTTTAAGGAAGAAGGAATGTTTTGCCAGCTGGTCCCTTGTTTCAGAAAGAGCTGAAAAGAGACCAACACACAGAGAGAGATGCTCCAATGCGCAGAACGGTAATTCACAATTTGGGTTTTTTAATGAACAAACCGATTCAGCTTAGATGGCTGTAAATTAAAAAACACCAAAAAAACAGAAGCCCTGCATCCCTTCTCATGTTTCAGTTTTTGTTCAGTTGAATTACTGCCCTTTTTTTGTTCATACAGCCTTCGTTTTGTATTTTTGTTTCCTTTTTATGTGCCTAATAAAAAGATGTGACCATTCACAGATACATTTTCACTGGTTGATGACCAGGTGAGCCCCGCTTCCTGCCTGGGGGGCAGGGCAGTGGTGTGGAGCACCTGGGACAGGTCCAGACCCTGGACTGGAGAGTCCTGGGGTCAGTTCCCAGGTGGGGCACTGCTGTTGGACCCCTGGGGAAGGTGCTTCCCTCTGGCAGCTCCAGTAAATGTCCTGTACATATATATATATGTTGTATATGTGTGTGCACAGGACTCCTGCTATGTTACAGCACATGAGAACGCATTCTCAACCACCTTAAAGGTGAGTTGGTTGAGAAACAGGACTAATTCAATACTTATGAGAAGGGACTCGGGAAACTAACCTGGCAGAGCGAGGTCAGGTGGAGCCAGACGGCACGGGCTCATCTCTCCCTGGAACCACAAACACACAAGCGAAATCAGTAGCAGCTCTTGCGTCGTCACACAACGATTTTGAGACACTCAGGCAGGGCGTGAGAGATGCGTTGAGAATAGACCATGCAGCAAAACCATGCAGCTGTTCCCTCACTGTCCACCACTGTTGGGCATATGGCTCAGTCCAGTCTGAAAGTTGATTTTTTTTTAAAGATATTGATCACAACACTGACTACAATAACTTAACTCAAATAATTGATTAGAATGTGTTACATTAGCATCAGAGGCTGGGCGGGTCCTAACTCGTTTACCATCTGACAAGTCCTCATGCCACACGGCCCAGTGTCCTGGTCAGCTCAGCTCTCCGAAGCTTGACTGGGCCGAGTGGGAAGGCAAGGGAAAAAAGATCTCATTGCATGCCAGTAGGTGGCGCTTTTTCCCCTTTCCCAGCATTTCCAAGATATGGAGCTGTATAAGATAAGATCAGATCCCTTTATTAGCCCTTTACAATTTCTTGCATTAGGAATTTGTCTTCTGGCATACCCCAGCTTGCTCTCCATGAGACACACAGACAGGGAGAGAAGCTGGGGGTCAGAGCGCAGGGTCAGCCACTGTACAGCACCCCTGGAGCAGTTGGGGTGAAGGGCCTTGTTCAGGGGCCCAACGGAGTAGGATTCCTCTGCCGGCCGCGGGATTTGAGCCAGCAACCTCCCAGCCACAGGCGCAGATCCTGAGCCATAGAGTCACCACACCGCCCGCTTATAAGCTTATAATCTCAGAGCAACAGCTGTCAGACGATGTTTTCTGGGGTGTTTCCTGGAGCAAAGGAAGTTACCCCATGGGCACAGATCAAAACCCTCACCCACAGGTTATAGATCTTAAACTGTTACTTCCTGATCAAAAAAAAGCTTAAAAGCAGTGAGAATGTCTATAAGAAGAGATGTGAATGACTTCAGTGAGCACTGACTCATTCTGCTTTGTTGCGCACCAAGCTCTTCCACCCAGTAGCATGTGCTGAGCGTTGATCTTGCCTGTACCTGTCTGTACCTGCTCATTGTACTGTGTCAGTTTCCTCTTCTTCGCAGGCGGTGGCTGGGCCTGTTTCTTCTGTAGGAGCAACACACACACACACACACACACACACACACACACACAGGAAACACACAGGGGAGAGAGTGAGTGACAGTGTCCTTGCTTGGATTCCTGTGCAGAGAGAGGATCCCATCTTCCCTATCCAGTTCAGGGTCACAGGGGAGCCAGAGCCTATCCCAGCAATCAATGGGCACCAGGCAGGGTACAGCCTGGACAGACACAGACACAGACACAGACAGGCCCATTTTCCCAGCAGCCAATGAATCTACCAGCATGTAGGAACAAGGACTGCAGGTGGAACCCCATGTGATCATGTGGGGAGAAGATACAAACTCCAGGCAGATAGCAGGAGAGAAAATGTTAACTGCTGTGCCATTGTGATTCCCCAGTAAAACCTTAATTAGCTTAATCTACACTTATCAGAAAACTCTGTCCTTAAGTAACAAAGCACGTATTGTGTACCATGTAAAGGCTGTAATTACCAACCACTGCCACCAGTGGCCGCCAAATAGACCATCAAACATTGATCTAGTGATTGCTGGTTCGCAAGGGCTCAGTCCCGAGTGTGTTTGTGTTTCCACAGGGCACAAATAACCGGGAAGCAACAGAATGAGTTGTGTAGTTTTTCGTCTGTACCGTTAATTGTTGAGAAGCTATTATTGCTCTTTTCATTCTCTGCTGGAACGGGATGTATGCCCCCCGTCTGAAGACGCACAGGGAGGGGCGCTGACCCCTGTTTCCCTGGGACTCACCTTGCCTTTCATCACTCTTTGTCCTCTGGCAGGAACTTTCAGAATGCCCTTCTGCGGAGAGAAGTGGTCAGTGTCCATCAGTGTCCATCGTATCTTTAAAGGGCAGCTTGGACCCTCCGTGCTTCCCCGGAATCGGTCTGATCTATCACATGTCCGGGGATATCTTCTC